TATTACCTTGAGGAACTCGGTGATTTTATAAGGTTGGAGAGTCCAGATGTCCCTCCCAAGACCAATAGCCAGTACTGCAACCAATGTCAGTCGATTATAATTTGGGTGGTTGTTAAGTGAGTAGGGTGTGCACTTACATCGATACACAATAGGCACCAAAGCCGTCGCGCATGCCTGTTTGGACATCAGAATCGGTGCAGCGACGTGACAGTCCAGAATCTGACTTACAAACCCGATGAAGATGCAAACGTCATCAGCGCCCCAAGGAGATGGGTTGACAAATTTGTTCAAGATCCGTATACACATGAAGATGACTGGTAAGATGAAGAGTGTACCTGTGAGGAATCGGGGTATCGCTGTGTTGTCGGTCAACGGGAAGCCGCAGTTGGCCCACGTCATATTTGCTACGACTTGTATCACTGTTAGAGTCTGAAACTTCTAGAGTAAATTGATTCCATGCTTACTGAGGCCGTCTTTGACTGTGCATCCAGAGTTAACACAAGCCCCAACATTGTCGTTGAAGACCGGGTCGGCGCAAAGACAAGTCTGGTTCAGACCAGTACATGGGGACTGAGGTAGGGCATCAACGATGCAGGTAACCTAGATCTATCAGCTTCAACCTTGCTAAGACGGGATTCGGACGTTCTTACTGCGCAAGGAGGATAATCGGAGATACTAGGAATGGCTCCGGCTGCGATTGTGATAATGCACAGTAGAAAAGTGAGTGGGCCAAAGGTCCTCATCTTCACTCAACATTAAGGATTGCTGAAACATCAACGGCTAGTGAAGCCAAATCGAAAGAACGAAGGGTTGGAATATAAGAGCCGCGGGGTACGAAGAATGGGAATCTCAGGGGAACATTCGCGTGGCGACATTTGAGGTTCGCTTCCTTTCATTGAAGCAATGACGAGATTGGTTCCATTACATTACATACAGCGGTTCAGTTGTGAAAGAAACCCATGCTTAACGGGCTTGTGGAATGCGAGCGGCCGCTCCATCGTGCCAGTGGCTCGGCTTGCTTGCGAACGGAAAGATATGCAGCCCGTTTCTCTCAGGCAAAGCCATGTGGCTGTGATCGACCACAGCTGAGGATCTAAACGCGTTTAGACCACCCAATCAATTAGTGAAAGACCATCGGACTTTCAATCCTTTTCACATGTCTTTGGTCTAGGCGGCATATCATCCGGCTTGGATTGGTGGCGTTCCTGATCTATGCCTAATGCAGGTCCGGCATGTTCAGATCACCCCAGGACGATGATCAAACTTACCGTCACTTTGTCAATCCCGTTAACAAAAAGCAACAGTGGAATCTCCTAATTCGTGACAAGGAAGCTCCTCGCAAGCATAAGCATCAAAAGCGTGATAGGATACCTCGGCGAATATGTATTTGTGTGAGCTAATTCTCCTTCAGAATATCGGCAGCCTTTTCAGCTACGGCATACATAGTCGCTTGCAAATGACAGGCTGGAATCAGTGGAATGATACTGGCATCAACCACCCTCAGGCTCTCAACACCGTAGACACGAAGTTGGGGGTCCACAACGCCACCATGCTCCAAAGGTTGCAAACTCGCTGTTCCACTGGGGTGCGCAAAGCTGGCAAAAAGGGAGTTCCTAATAGCTTCAGCAATGGCCTGGTCAGATGTGACGTTGACACCCGGAGAGATCTCAACGGCCTCCCTAATCGCCAAAGTGGGAGTATCCCAGACTTTGCGGAAATCTTTGACACTGAGGACTGCAATATCGACATCAACGGGATTTTGAAGGGTACCAAAGTCGATGATGGGCGGGTTGGCAGGGTCAGGGTTGGTTGAGCTGATCTTGATGGTACCACGAGACAGAGGCTTCTGGAAAGCAATTGCGCCACCAGAGAAGCCTCCGAAGGGGATCTCCAACACGCCTGCCTCTGGGTTTCGGAATAGTTTGGTGAGAGCCTCACGCTGAGATAGGAAGCCCTCTAGAAGCTCGGGGTGCTCTGAGTAGATCTCCGGAAGGAAGTCGAGCGCGTTCTGGGCTTCGACAGACGCTGACAGAGCTTCATATTCCGGAGTAAGATCCTGGAGAGATCTGAAGATGATATTATTTCCACGAGCGTGAGTGAAGGGCCCAGTTCGATTGGCAAAGTACTCGGCCTCAGATGCATTGAAGAATGCCGGATCGTTCATGGCCTCGCTCCCAAGCTCAGGAGGGTTACCGTACGTATACAACATCAACATCCATGCGTGATCCTGGTAGTTGCTACCCACACCAGGGAGGTCGGCGACTACATCGACGTCGAGAGACTCCAGCAGCCCAGCGGGGCCGATGCCACTCTGGAGCAGGACTCTCGGCGTCTGAACGCCGCCGGCGGCAAGGACAACTTCCTTCTTTGCCTTCACCAATGTTGTGGCGTTAGTTTCGCGTGAGATGATGTTGACGCCGACAGCTTTCTTATCCTCGAACTCGATCTTCGAAGCATAGTGCTTCACAAGGAGGTTGAGATTCTTGCGAGTTTCGGCGATAGGCTCATAGTATGCTGTTCTCGAGGTCGACCGAGTAACGTTCTTTGGGTCGTGGTTCTGGGGGAGCTGAGCCAGGCCAACGTTGTTTCCTCCGGCACCGTGGTCATCGAGTACAGGCACGCCAATGTCCTCAATCCAGGCCTTTCTTTGAAGATCTAGGAAGCATTCATGTTAGTTTTGAATTAGAGTTCTGTAAATGTTAGGAGGGTTTCAAGTTTTCGCGTACCTCTGTCGGGCCATTGCCACGAGGGAAAGCCAGCTTGGAGAGGACCATCACCATAGGTGCTCGGGTCGTAACTAAAGTTGTACCTCTCGACATACTCGGGCGCGGGAAGCGTAAATGTAGATGACTGTGGAAAGACGTCAGCACAAGTAGTTCAGCCCTATTTCTACCGTCGATTTTTGCACACCTTTTTGAAATAGTGGAAGAGGCTGTCCCAATTCCATCCCGGGTTGCCTAGCTCTTCCCACGCGTCGTAGTCGGCTTTCGAGCCGCGATCAAATGCCATGCCATTGACAGTAGAGCCACCTCCAACTACTGTTCCAGTCTGAACACCAGAAGTCCTATTGTTCAATCCAGGTTGTGGGATGGACAAGAATTGGATCAAATCGTTGGGGTGTAGGTTAGAAGCGTAGTAGGGGATAGCTACGTCCCAGCTGACGTCGAAGTCTCCATACTCAACAACCAAGACAGTTACTGTTAGAGATGTCGGTTAGCAGCACGTCAGTCCGCTGTTTCAAGAACGCGTCATTCGCTTACCATCCGGATCTTCGGTGAGTCTATTGGCAACCACAAGGCCACTCAAGCCTCCGCCCACAATCACGTAGTCGTAAGAGCTGTGGAGATCCGTCGTGTTTCTCTTGGCGAACTTGGCAGCCGCTGGCACAGCATTTGCAAGCTGGACTTGGCCCAAGACAAGGGCGATCCAAGCTGCTGCTTTCAGACCACGAATGATAGCCATTGCACAAAGTCGAGAGAGTCGGCAGGTTGAATGACGAGACGCACAACAATCGAGAGAGAAGCTTTCTCAGGACTAGAGGGTCGTTTCCAATCATTTAAAGGCTCAGGCCCAACGGACTGCTGTCAACTCATCCTAGTTCATTGCCTTCGGGCTACTGCACAAACATCGCCTAGTCCAATTGATCGCATGTTGTTCAACGGTGCGCTTCTGCGCGAGAACACCGCCAGGCCCAACAGCCCTTGCCTTCGACGGGTCTTTAGCAAGGATTATTCAAGTGCAGTGTGCAAAGAGTCGGGGAGCGGCGAATGTGGCAAAGCTCCCGTGCAATGGGTTTCTGTCCCACAGTCCTAGGCGTTCTCATAGGGCAGGTCGCAAATGGAATATCACAGCCCCAGCGTGACACCCCGGACGACACATGGGTTAGAATCAACAGACACCAGGGCCCGACCGGCCGGTGGGACGGCCCTTGTTCTCCAAGTTGCCACATTATCCAGCCGATGTTACGCTGTCTGCCATTCTTCTCGAAGGTGTAAGCACTAAGGATATTAACTCGCCTGTCTTTGATTTTGCCATTTAAGACTGCGATGTTTAACCACCACCCCCAATTGAATTGATCAAAGAAGCCAAGGTAGTAGTGGGGTCTAGATTGTCGTATACGAGATTAGTGCTACGAATCTATAGTTTCGTACACACGATGTACTTTGCAGTTGAAGCGGTCTCCCACAAGCTCTATGGAGACTTGGCTAATATTCGTCTAAGATTCCATTATGACACTCATGCCGTCCACAAGGACGTTCTCAATAGTAATTCAGTAGTTGGTCAGTGAGCCGCGGTCAGCACTGCTAACCTGATAGATGCTGCCTCCGATCCTTCCTGACGGTTTCATGCGAACAGTTACATTTCCAATAGCTTGAGTAAGGCAAGGCTGTTATGCATATCGATCCCTACGTGCCGGCGTGGTGTCTAAGCGTACACCTGGCAAGGCCTATGGAGCCTAATGGTCACTTGTTCAATCTCAGCCGCTAGCATCTGCTTTAACCACGCGTGGGGATGTTAGGGCACCCTGTACGGGGACGCCAGGATTTTATCATATTCAGGCCAAGAGAATGTGAAAAATTCGACGGAATGAATGTTCAGCCTAGCACTGGGCAGGAATGGTTGTGTACGCAGCTTTTCATGTACGAAGATAATAGGAAAAACAGCTTTTGAGTAAGAAGGAATGTCTGAAAGCGTCACCATGTCGAAAGCTTTCACTGCGTGAATTGATGTATTACTGTATGACTGGTGTATTATATTCCTTGACCTTCTCAAGGCCATGACCAGAAGGGGTCACATTCAAAATCCCGGATAATGCTCCTGGAGTTGAAGAAACAACATCTGATTTCCTCTAACGTACGTAGCCTGCATCCTTTGACCTTAAGGTAAGCTGGGCATGCAATGTTGCGCATTTTACATTGTGATATCGTGCCCCAACTACGTAAAGTCCCACCTCACGGTCTAAGCAAATCATATTCTTTTGCGAGTCTCTGGAATTTTTCTTAGAGCTTCCAGCCCTCAAGCTCGGCGGTGTTGTTATATGAGGCAAGGTCAACATAGTGAACCTGACGAGTGCCGTTGCGGCCGAACTGGTCTCCGCTAATGTCAACGAGCGTCTTGGAGGTCTGGGACGTGCCGTTGAGCAGGCCGGGGAACGCGCCGTCCAGCATGCCGACAATATCCGCGGGCGTAAAGAAGTCTAAACCCTTGGCCTCGATCTCCTTCTGGAAGAAGGACACGTATCTGCGGGAATGCTCGACGTCGACGGACGGTCCGAAACCCTCGACAGATAGGGCATGACCGGGGATGATGACAGCCGGCTTGAGGTGCTGAATAAAGTCTAGGGTCGAGAGCCAGGCGGAGGTCAGCGCGGGGGAGAGCAAGTCGGCGAGCCAGAGATGGACGGTGTGACTATAGACAGAGTCGCCGGCAATGAGGGTCTTGATGGAGGGTATCCAGAAGAGGGTCTCGTCGATGGTGTCGGCAACCAGAGGACTCAGGAGCTCGATGGGCTCGTTCTCGTTGCCAGGCAGGGCGAAAAAGGTAAAGTCATAGGGAGTTGGGACAGTGGCCTTTTCGACCACAGCGTCGGCTCCAAGGATGCCGCTCCAGACTTTCAGCTGTAGAGGGGAACTGTGTTAGCGACTCTAGTCTTCAAGTTGGAGGTAGAAAAGGGAATTGCCCTGATTTCACCTTTTCCTCAACTTCATTCTCGATTAGGGCCACAGCCTTAGAGTTGGCGTAATACTTTGTTTCGGGAAAGTGAGCTAGGAACGCGGAACCGCTGAGGTAGTGGTCGGGGTGGAAATGTGTGGTAAAGGCGGCCACTAGGGGCTTGTCGGTGGTCTTGACCACCCAGGCCGCGAGCTCCTCGGCCTGCGGAACCGCGAGGGGCATGTCGATAAGCAAAGCCGCCTCGGAGCCAATAATCAAGGAAGAGACCATGTCAAGAGACGGGCCCGAACTGATGAAATTCTCGACTCGCAGGACCGAAGAGCATACTGCGCGAACGGCAAGTGCCCGCGAGAGCGCGAGGGCCATGAGGTTGAAAGACTTCATGATGCCTGTATTCATGGAGCGAAGCGATAACTTCAGGATTAAGAAATAGTTTATTGGGAAAGACGAGTAAGCGTTGTGCAATCCATATTCAGATGGAATTACCTTTCGCTTTAATACTTCAGTGGCCGCTTGAAATCCTCGTAACTGGCATTATTGCCAAGCTTAATTTTTGATTACATATTGATGGCAGTACGATCCCTGGAGTCACCGACCAAGTGGAAAACTTCTCGTCGAGATATTCTCTTCACGCGGTTTTCGAGCTGTTGGTCGGACGGGTGCAGAAAAGTGCCGGTTGTACAAATCGAAAAATGGGCACACTTAGTCAGAGCCAGTCCAAAGACTTGAGGTTGATGGAGCTTAGTATGCAAGGCAACGCACCCAGGTAGTGTGGACGTGCCCCATGCCAAGCACTGTCACAGGGATCTCGATAGTCTCATTGCTGGCATCCTCTAGAAGTGCACTGGCGAACTTCAAGGCACGCTATGTAGATAGTCAAAATTTCCAGTTTGTTCTATGGTCCAGCTTGGTAATGGCACCCATCGCCTGGGGTGTTTGCCGCGCAATTGCCACGACACGAACCTTCTATCATGATTCTGTTTTCGCAATCTTCAAGTGATGTAGAGACGGCGGAGGAATTCCGCCCTAAAGCCATACGATATAAAGAGACCGAACGAATCCTGGATCCACGATTGGTACTGCCCAACTCGATCTGCAATTCCTATGAGCTCGATTGCATCTCATATAAGACGGACTTTCCACGGACTCTCGCTACACTGTCAAAATTTACTTCAAAAATACCAGATCTTATCGAATCACAATGGCGCAAAATCAAGCAGTCAAGACTGTTTCTGCTGGAAATGCCCAGGTGGTTGACGTCCTCGTCCCAGGCCTGCCAGCGGCTGACTACCTTCTCGTCAAAACCTCTGCTGTGGCAATCAATCCTACAGACTGGAAGCACGTGGAAGCCGCCGACCACGCTGGCTGTGCCGGTAGTTGGGTGGGCTGCGACTATTCCGGCGTCGTGGTCGAAGTTGGGCCTGGTGTCACCAAGGGCTTCAAGGTGGGCGATCGGATTTGCGGCCCAGTTAATGGCTCGTGCGTCTCTGTCTTTTTTTGAGAAAAGTTCAATACGATGTGCTGACAGGAGTAAGGAACGCGTTGAGAGAAGTTGATGGCAGCTTCGCAAGGTATATTGTTGTGAAGAGTGATCTGCAGATTCTCATCCCCGACAACCTTTCTGATGAACAGGCTGCTACCCTCGGCATTGCTATTACCACCGTCGTGCGTACAGCTCAAGAATGTTCCTCTTGTAAGATAACAGTGGCTAATGCGAGAAACGCATTCGTTAGGGTCAAGCTCTGTATCAGACGCTCAAGCTTCCACTGCCCACATCGCCCGCCGAAAAGTCTGCTCCTATTTTGATCAACGGTGGAAGCACCGCCATGGGCATCTTTGGCATCCAGTACGCTAAGCTTTCCGGCTTCAGCGTCATCACTACAGCCTCGCCACACAACTTTAACTTTGTCAAGTCGCTCGGCGCTGACATCGTCTTCGACTACCGGATCCCTACCGTGAGCAAGGATATCCGGGAGTATACTCAAAACGGCTTAACACTCGCATGGGATTGCCAGAGCACCGAAGAGTCTGGTATCCTCTGCGCCAAGGCGCTGTCGACCAAGGGCGGCTCGATCGCTAACCTGTTGCCCATCTCAGCCGAGAAGGTGCTGCAAGCCAACCCTCACGTCAAGATCGGGACGAGTTTGTACTACACCGTCTTCGGTGAGCCCTTTGGCTTCTTCCAGACGTATGAGGCCAATGCTCAAGACTTGGAGTTTGGCAAGATGTTTTGGGAGCTGAGTCGTGGACTGCTGGCGAACGGCAAGGTGAAGCCACCCCCTGTGATATCGAACAAAGGCGGCAGCGGGCTGCAGGGAGTCTTGGTCGGCTTGCAGGAGTCCAAGTCGGGCAAGGTCAGCGGCGGGAAATTGGTGTACACACTTTGAGAGACGTCGGGTCGATAATGTTGACAATGTGCACGTACGAAGTGTAGGCGTGGATACTTCAAGTATCTAGGGCGAACGTTATCCGAAGTCCACTTCTTACAGGCGCATGCATCTCTATAACTGGTTTGGTCGAGGACAAACTTCTAGTCTTTCGACGCCCCACTCGGTAGAAAGGAGATATCTCCAATGCAATCTTTGTTTACCTGACTATCTCTATATCGTGGCAATACGTGTCTTGCCTAGACCGTCAACGCCATTTGACGTTGGATTCAGCGAGTAAAACTCACTTTCGTAAGCAGATTGACAAGCCGACTCCTATGTGGGCAATCTTGTAGCCAAGTTCGCCGTCGACTAGGGCTTTCGCTTACCAAGAACCATGATGTTAATAATTCAAGCTTTTGTTGTGACTTTTACCCATACAGCAGTAGACGGATGTATAATCGTACCGAGGTCGTTACTTTCCGACCATCGGTGTTGACCAGAGTGTATCACCCGTGAGAGTGCTTAGGCTTTCCCTATCCGTAATGGGTAATTCGAACCCCTCATGAGTCTGTTATGCCTTATCAGTACATCTCTATGGAGTCTGTGTGGACCTCAACATGATGTGCTGCAAACGACTTTTCCTGTAACTCAGAGCTTTACGGCGGAATATTGCCCGATTAAGGTGATCGGCATGATGGTGCTCCCCCCCCCCCCCCCAACGCCACGTGCATCTTACTTTGCCTTTTTACAACGGGACATTTAGTACATGCACAAGCCGGAGAAAACATCGGAGTAGTTATTAGTAATGCCCCGAAGCAGAAAAATGTGATGGCTTGGACGTCCATTATCCCATCAACTGCGGGATAACGTCGGTACATAGCTACGTACCTCTTGTATCACTCTATGGTAATCCGAATTGCTGCTATTTAACTCCCATCTGATACACTTAACTCTAAAATTCGGCTGTCAGAGAAAACTGGAGGCTGATGTACCGAAGTCATCTCGCAGTTGATGGAATAATGCAGGTGCCACAGCGCACCTCTGAAGTAAACAGGAACGAGATTGAATGAATTCGGTTCGAGTAGATAGCTGCCAGGGAGGTGATAATGGAGATTCTAAGGCCAGTGGTGAGTTTCTGAAGCTAACACGGACTTTTGACTACAGATTAGATGACTGAACACGTAGCTAAGGAAGGAAGGAGGTCCACGTAAGGTGGTGAGGTATTGCTGAGGCTTGTCATCCCACTCTCCAACGCGAATCATGCAACCTTTGTCGCTTTCATCGCGGCTGACATGCGACTGATTCGGAGATTGATAGCAACCATCAAAATATCAGCCTTGCCGCTCAGTGGCAAAGCCATAACTCCTAGAGTGCGATATAGTTTGGATGGAACTTTTTGGTTGTAGGTAAGACCATTATGTTTGGAGCTTTAGGCTTGTGCGACCATGAATTCAAGGAATGATTCTGGCGCGAGTATTCCCGAGAAAGTAGTTGCCGTTTTGAAAAGAGCATACCTTGGTTACCGATGCCGAAATAGCATGCAAAGTTGAATACAGGATATTCTAGATTGACGGTCGGAGGAAAAGCATAGTACCTGATGGGACAAGGTGTTGTTAAAAGCCACGGGAACGCAGGACAGCATGAATTACGTGGAAGTTGTCCTTCACTATGCATGCTTTGAAGTTCAAGTATACGTCAGCGGTGAATGAGTTCTGTGCGATCCGGCGGTGCGGGAAGATTGGTAGCCATATGGCCGGCGCCGTGGAGATAGGCCGGCTAAGGGAGCCGATGCTGACGGCGGAGTTTGAATGGCTGCGGAATTGCGGAACCCCGCCAGCCTCTAGCGTGGAGTGTGGCATATCCTTCAGCAATGGGTCATTCACCAATTTCATTCCACTGGCGGAGGATTTGGAAAACGTCCTAAAATGAATGAAGTGGCTTGCTATGCCGTTTGAAGTGAATCCCGCGTATCCCGCTTTGTCGATGTATGGCACCACGACGACCGGAAATGATGTCAATGAGCAAGAGATAGCGGGTTATGGAGCGGAGATGTCCCTTCACTGCCTCACAAAGCTGACGGACTTTGGTGTCTGCACTTTTGTCAAGTATAAGAGGCTCCTTGAACTCTAGAGATTCAAGTTTGAACTTAGAGGCCATCTACAACCCAACGAAACCGCCCGCTGTCTGTTCACGCATAAGCTTCCTTCTATCCAACTTATAATCTCATCAATATGGTCAGAGTCGCTATTGCTGGTGCTTCCGGGAGTGAGTTAAGACTTCATCTCAGGCAGTGAAGTTTCCCAAATTGCTCGCTAGAGACAGAATCCACTCCTCTGAGAGTGAATGTCACGGCTAACAAGTGACGTTCAGAGCTCGCCCTTGAGGTCATTGACAAGTTGGCCGCCGCCGGAAAACATGAGATCCTTGGATTGGTCCGCAAGGTAAGCTATAGGCCCCCCCTAAAAGAAGTTTCAAGCAATCAATGCTTCAGTCTACTTGGGTGCACGCAAGGTGCCAGTCCTTTTGTTCTAAATCCAGTCCAGGACCCTTCATCTCTACCCCAATTTCAGGGAGTGAGGTACATCCAGACTTCTTACCAAGACGAGAAGGAGCTAGTAGAGATTCTCGACGGTGTTGAGACTGTTCTCTCTTTTATCGTGGCTCACACCGACCCAAATGCGGAGACAGCCAAGCGTCTTATCGATGCATCGATCAAGGCTGAGGTGAAGCGCTTTGCTCCCAGTGAGTGGGCAACGTAAGTATCGCTACTCCTCGTTCGCTCAATTTGTCCTCAATACTTCTGTTGCTAACAGAGCGGGCCTAAGGAACAACAACCTGTCTGACGTGATTGAGTACACGTCTTGGTATGCCAACAAGCTGGAAGTCAAGAAATACTTGGAAGACATCAACAAGAGCAAAAAGGTTGGTTAAGCTTGAGGGTTCGAAATATTGAGTGCTTCATATTCTGATCAAATCCTAGGTGATTGAGTACAGTTTGTTCCAGCCAGGAGCTTTCATGAACTACTTGGGGTATCCTCATCAGACCACCAAGTACTACCAGATCGATTATGCTACCTTCATAGATTTCGAGAAGGCTACTGCTTTCATTCTCGAGGGGTCTGAGAGTGCCGAAATGTCAATCACTACCATCGAAGACATTGCGGAGGTAGCTGCACGAGCTGTCGATTACGAAGGCAATTGGCCTGTTGTGGGCGGTATCACCGGCGATAGAGTCACCATTGGAGAACTCATTAAGCTGGGAGAAAAGTACAGAGGTCCGTCCATAACTCGTTTTCATCGCAGCTCTCTCGATTAGCTACGTATAAATAACACGTCATTTAGGAAAACCCTTCCAGGTCGACAGATTGAAGCTTGAGGACCTCAAGGCAGGCATTGTCAAGACAGACTTCGCCCCTGAAATTGACGTTCCTGGTGTTCCAGCGGAGCAGAAGGAGTATTTCAGCAACGTAGTCGTTATCGGAGCGACAATTTCGACTGCTCGAGGCACATGGGCAACAACTGATGAGTGGAATAAGTTGCTTCCTGAATTCAAACCAACCACCATTGAGGAGTACCTGCAGAAGACCTGGGGCTCTCAGTGAGGCTCTGTCACTACGAGGCCTTGTAACTCCGACAATTTGGCTAGAACTTGGGGGTTGTTCAATCTGGGCTGGGCCAAAGCCAGATATCCCGCCTGTCAATACCACGGCCATAAAACTAGTATTGGCTTAATACATCTAGCTCAGGCCTCGTAATGAAATCTCCAGATGATTTGAAGGACCGCTTTACCCTCTAAGCCTCCAAAATGACAGAGGCCGAACGACAAGTTCGTTAATCTTCTGACACTCACGCATACCGTTGGGGAAGTAGAATTCAAGATCGCTTCTGATCGCCTTTTCATACTTGGGTAAACCTAAGTAAAGATGACTATAATTATTTACTTTCAATCATCCACCGGTATTGAGCGGACTAAGAGGGTCAAACTCGTCTGTAGCGATCAACTCAGGATAGAATATTCCGGCGTCTTTCAATACCTTGTCCATAGTTTCCATGACGAGTATGCTCTCAGACCACGGCATAGTATCGCTTTCCAATTTGCCGTCTCTTATGCAACGTGCAGCTTCGTCTGCTTCCCAAAATGTGCCATTTCCCCAACTCCTTTCGCTATCTTGCGGATGAGGGTATTCAAAAACCTTCTCAACAGCTCCCGTCTCCGACATGGTGATTATCTTGAAAGATCGAGGCTTGTACGCCGGATTTTCCACTTGTATTTCGCCATGTGAGCCTTGGATTCGGATCGCTTGGGTGCCGGAAATGCCAGGATCTGTTGCAACCCGAAGCGATGATGTGGCTATACCCACTGTTCCGTGCTTTGGGAAGTTGAGGATGATCGTGGCCGACTCATCGACTCCCGTAGAATATTTCTGAACGGCTGACAGGATCTGTGGCTCCTCTTTTTCATTCTCAGGTTGGAGATGGTAGAGAATTTGGAAAACCCAGGTTAGTGGATAGATTCCAAGTCCGAGTAGGACACCTCCGGCCAAGTCAGGGTTGACCATGCGATGGGAGTCTTCGTAATTGAGTCTTTTGCTTCCGAAATCTCTGCTGCTGTTCGCTCGAGACAAGTCTGCAGTAACACGATGAATCTGGCCGATAGCTCCGCTGCTGACAAGCTGGCGTATTTTGACGCTGAGCGGGAAGAACCTGGTCCGGACACCTTCCAAGAAGAAGAGCTTCTTCTCTCTTGCAACTTCGTACAGTCGCCGCGCTTGCGCAGCAGTGACAGTGAGAGCCTTTTCACAAAGAATGCTCTTTCCTGCGTGGAGCGCTAGCATTGCGTTTTGGAAATGGTGGCTATGCGGGGTGGCGATGTAAACAATGTCAACATTCTGGTCTTTAACAAGTGCTGCATATGATCCATATGTGGAGACCTCAGTAGGTGAGTGGTGATCGATGCGAGCGAGGAATTCGGTCGCTTTTTGAGGGTATCTCGAAGATGAGACTGCGGTGATGGCATGCTTAATGTCAGTCACTCCGCGAGTAGCTGGGTTGGTCAGGAGGTCTTTGCAGAAGTCTGCAATGTGTCAGCAACACCGCTTAATGTGAGAGGGTTGACCTCGTTCGTCTCATCAAGGGGATAATTAGAGTTGACATACACTCGGACATGGCTCCAGTGGCCATTATCCCCCACCTCAACAGAAATGGTTCTTGTGCCATCTTAAGTTCTTGAGGTGCAGACCAGGCCCAATGCGTGGTCAAATGATATGGAGCTCATGCAACACTGAAGTGCTCATTCGTCTAAACAACAAGGCCGTGAAGGGAGAGGCCTCTTTTAAGAGTATCTCAAGGCGATCGATGTTCAAGCAACGAGAAAATTGTGCACTGTTCGGGCGTTCGGGCTAAAGATGGCCGATGCAGTCCCAATGACTTCACGGGACCTCGGTACGATCTCTACCTTAGTTGGGAGACAATACTCCTGGCTGTACAGCAATAGAAACGACGGCGCGGACTTGGCGACAGGATCAATGAAAAACAACAAACGTTGATATGTCCAGCCAAGTAATGTTATTTCCAGGGCGTCGGAGATACCTTGAATTTTCAGCAGGATTGGTGTAAAGCATCATTTGCGAAAACGAAGTGACCTCTTCACGCTCAGTCAAGAATTAAATTTTATCCCATTATGTAGTAGCCAGATTTCCCCAGTTATTTCGTCAATCATGATCAATCATTGCACTGTTTTGCTCAACTCCTTCAACTCGCAGCTGCCATTCCGATCTTGCTGCACTAGAAGTACAAGCTTCCAGCGTTATTCAGGATCCAGTCGGAACTCGTCTTTCTGAAGTCGTCCTTCAGAGTGCTGGCCTTGTCCGCAAAGAACTGCATCAAATTCTGGCCCTGGGACCACTGGGGCCAGGCTGGGTAGGCTCCATTGAGGCCCACGTTAGGGTCTGAGGCGTAGACAAAGTTGGTGTAATAGGTACGGATGCTTCGCGCGGCGTAGTTGTCCTTGATACCGTAGAAGACCTGGAGCAAGTCGGATCCGTGGAAAGTACCCAGGATCGGAGTACCGTAGTCGTACGACGAGAGGTATGACCACGAAGGTACAGTGGGCTGTACGGAGCTAGCAAGGGTGAGGAAGACGCGGCGAGTTAGGGTGAAAACCAAGTCGCCAAGGACGGCTGAACGGCGCTTGAAGCCGGGGAAGATCTCGTTAAGAAGCCCGGTGCGGTGAGGGCTGCCGTTGATGACGGCTGTCACGCCATCATCGTAGGTGTTAACGTAAGCAGTTATCTGGGCCGTGGTGGCAGTCGCGAAGTAGTAGTTCTTGAGGTACGTGACGAGCTTATCAGTGGTAGTCAGGTTGGGTTGGAAGATGCCGAAAAGAGTGCCTTCATCTTCTTGATCTCCGATGATCATGGGCACGGCTGCGTACTGGCCGTTCTTAGCCAGCACATCAGGGCTCGCAGTAAGAGTCTTGCCATCCGGACGGGGCAGGTAAGACAAAGCGAGAGAGTTGTAGGAGAGGATCCCAGGGACAGATGTGACGGCGTTCAGGAACGTAGTGTAGTCAACCCCGCGCAGACAGGCCAGCGTGTCGGCCTTGCCGGCGCAGCCTGCCTCTGAGACGACCTTATCGTACACGGCCTGGCCCTTCGGGCAATCGACGGGGTCGGTAGGGACGATGCTGCCAGAGTTCATGATGGCACCGCGGAAGAGCGCTTTGCCGTTGTACTTGTTATTTCCGTTGTACAGAGCCATTTGATCGAAGACGGAGATTGCGCCGGCAGACTCGCCCCAGATGGTGACCTTGTCCGGATCGCCACCAAAAGCCGCAATGTTGTCTGCAACCCACTCGAGGCCCATTCTCTGATCGAGGAGACCAAGGTTTGCGGACCCGTCGGCGAGGATCTCCTTGCCGGGCATGAAGCCGAAGCCGGCGACGCGGTAGTTCACGGCGACGAAAATGAAGGGCTTGCTAATATCGACACCGTGCTGGACAAGGCCGGTTCCATCGTACATGGAGGACCATCCGAGCTGTACAAATCTTTGTCAGTACTTTGGATGAATTGGTCGAAAGTTCAGATGGCGCTGGGCATACCTCAAATCCACCTCCAAAGATCCAGTAGAGCACGGGCAGCTTCGCATCTGCCGTGGTGCCCTGAGGACGAGCCACCGTGATGGTTAGGCAGTCCTCAGTCTGGCCAGTCGCCTTCTGAACGAAAGGAAGGTTCGCAATGTCTCCCAACAGGTTGAAGAGGATGTTGTCGCTGTCAGAAGAGGAAACCATCTGCGGGCAGGCAGCCGCCGGGCCGGTGGCGTCAAAGGTTCCAATGTTATCTGTGAGGCGCACGGGAGGCTTCAATCGCAATTGTCCGGTAGGCGGCTTGGCGTAGGGAATGCCGCCGAAAGATTCAACATTGTTCATGACGTTTCCGACGACAGTTGCTGTCTTGAGAACGACCGTCGCGTTGGCCACCGCCCTATCTTCCAAGGTCTGGACATGGTCCGAAACCGCCAAGGCGGCCCCCAGGAGGGAGAGAGACGAGACGAGAGTGGGAAGCTGCATGGTGTGAAAAGAGACGAACGTTTGCCGGTTTGATCCACTGAACAAACTGGGAATAACCAAAGGGAGGACGGGGCTAGCTGCGAGCCACAGGATAGACCCAAACGATTGAGCTTGGCTGAAGACGATCCGAATGAGCTGCCTCGAACGACTCGAAGGAGAATGCCATCGTGGAGAGGGCTTCCCGCGGCCTATTTAAGTCAATTCTCCTCGAAGATCCAGGAACTACATTCCAGGGCAAATTTCGATCTAGTGTGGATTGACCGAAGAACTTCAAAGCCGCACCCACCATCGGATTGCGCACCCCTGGCATTTTCTTTTAGTCTGAGTGTGGCCCATGCCATCCAGCTAATTGCGAATGGGGGCACTTGCGAGCTTAGCAGTAGCTTGGGCAAGGGAGGAGGAGGAGCTCAGTCCCCGCCGACTGAGTCGTGGGCCTCATTAGTCGAGCGGGTATCGTACTCGTGCTCGACTCCTCAAGCTAACCCAGCATAAAAAATATTGGATGTGAACAAACCGGGAATGCAACGTTCCCCATGGGGTAGCGGGGCTTATTGCCGGGATGTAGAGACGTATTCGGGTCGCTTCTGCGCGGGAAGAGACGTCCGAATGACCACGGCAGTTCGAGATACTCATTGATCGGGGATGTCAGTGATCCCGCTGCGGCACAGCAAACGAAACGAAACAGCCTTATTGACGTAGGACAAGACTCGAGATTCACATGGGAATATGCACAGTCACAATCAAGCCCCGCGCTCCCGCCTCGGTATGTCGGGCGGCACAAAGTGGTGGGATTCTTAAGCTTAGTCGCAAACGTCGAAGGCAAGTAAGCGCAGGGGAGCAAGGGGGGCAGAGAGACTGAATGGAGGCGGTCTGGTCGAACGGAACGGCGTGAGAATCTTGCTCTCGAAAGCGCATGTGATTGTGAGACACAATGTCGACGGACACCAGGAACCAGGAACTCTGTCCCAATCAGGCATCGATGTTCCTCTGATCTTAGACTTGTGGGTGTGAAGCTGTCGTGTGTCTGGCCGCGATGGTGGCTGCTCGTCGAGAGCATAAGCGCCCTGGATAGCTGGTGTTTGATGCACGACAAACGGCGCGGGCGGCAGAGCCAAGCTGTACGCTCCCAATAGTGCGTGAGTTTTCGTATTAATCGGGGAATGCGGGGTGAAAGTTCAAGATTTGGTGCGCATCCATCTCTGTTGGACAGTTGGAGTAGCACCAAAAGGACCCATCCCGAACAAGGTCGGCTGATGTAGATCGCCAACCTGGATCCTTGCACCGGCACTGGAGCCAGCCATCCAGGAGGTTCGAGTCTTTCGGATTTGGTATCCTACCACGGTAATGGGCCCGAGACGCGTGGGGCTCCGGATCGAGAGATGTGCGAAAGAATCGAAGTTTGTCTCTTCGAGTTGAGAAGCAGCCGTGAAACCCGCGCATACAATCTATGAAGCGGGCAAGCAACACATTCAAAAACCGTTGAGAGGGCGGATAGGTCGGGATATTCCACCAGTATCTTAGCTCGAAAACAGAATCCACTCGAACGATATTCGCAATGGGGGGATCATACATGATTACACTAGCATCTCGGCGGGGTGCTTTAGTGCGAGTCTGATCACACACACGCATACACGCACACATCTGGACGCACACATATCTTTCATTCTCGAAGATGTTCACTGGTCAACTGAAGTTATGGAAGTTCCCGAAAGCGAGGAACGAGAGAAACGAGCTGACGATCTGAGAGGCACAGTGTCCATAGTCCCGAAAGGGCAATATTTGCTCCTCGGCCGGCCGCGGACACGAAGCGGCCAAAGAGCGCTAGGCACGTCAAAATCAGCTCGCGGAGCCTTCTCCGTCCGAATTGAGAACTTAGTGCGTGACGGGACGTTGAAAACGCCCGAAAGCCTCGGCCGAACTATTAGTGATCAGCAAATGGTCTTACATACAGATGCGACTCGTATGCTTTGACATCTTAAGCATGTGTCTGCCATGCCCAAGAGCAATGGTATGGCACGTGTTGTCGTTGAGGGGGCGGGAAGAAGAAATGTGTTGTGCATGATCTTCCACATTCTGCGTGCAAGCTTGTTCAGTGGGAATATTGTCGCAAGAAAACCACCCCGGTTTGGGATCTTTCACCGCCATAGAGTAAGATAAAGTGGTTAATATATTGTTGCGGGGAGAATGGGATTGCCGGCTTCTCAACACATGTGGAGTCGAAATTCGGGCAAATTCAAGTTATTCCCTGCTCGACAGATGGAATTTTTTGATCCCACATCCAGCAGGAGCGATAGGGTCACCTCTAATTTCTTACTAGTTCCTTTGAACTCCTTGAAAACTTCGCTTGGGCATGAAATCCCTCGCGCCGAGACAGTTAGTATCCGCAATTGTTGAGGACTTACGTATTTGATAGATACTTTCTATGGAAGTAGTCCTACAGCCTGTGAACTAATTTAAGATGTCCGAACCCTTATCAGACGGCTGAGCCGCAAACGAAGAGCCAGAGAAACTCGCAAATGTTGCCGAAGAAGTTTAGTGCCGCAGATGTCAACTTTTCAATAGACAGGAACAATAACAAAGGCATTCTCCTGACAACTGCTAGCCATACGTGCATTGACACTGAAGATCAAAATGATCCGCCACGTGCGCACATGTTTGGCGCCCTGACCCTAGCTCCCGCGGCTACGAATACACTAGACACTTTAAACTTCAGGACTGTGTTCAGTCTAAGATGCTCAAGCGTGCGAGCAACGGTTCATCCGTCGTCCAACCCGTCGATTTGAAATGTTGGCTCGCTCCGCTTGCAGCTTGCAGCTATCTGAAAACCCACAATTTTCTCTATCCGCCAAAGTGTGCGCCAAGGCTAAATATACCCATTAAACCCCTTGCGGGAAAATTTGCGACTGCAGCGTGATGGATCGTTTGCATCTCTCCAAAAAGGTTCGAATGACTCAGGTCAGAGATCGTCGCGGAAGAGCTGGGGAGTGGAGAACCTGGAACTTCCCTTACTTCCCTCTGGGCTAGGTACTCCGAAGACCCGTGCGCATTGAAAAAGCCTGCACGCTTGGCCCCATTTTGTGCTGTGTAGTCCGTCGGTACCTGACAAAACTGCAACATGGGCTGTAAGTGACCCGAAGGATATAAGGGATGTGGTTCTAGTCGAATTGACTTCGTACAACTGTCGACCGTAGAGAACTTACGACGCAAGTCAAGATAGGGTAGGTACGGTACGATGGGTAAGGAGGAAGCTGCATCCATACACCAGGGATGGCCTCTCAATCAGGTCTCCTAGCTTAGAGCTAAGTGTCGATTTCGAGAGGAACTCCTCCATGCAAAATCACATACCATTAGAAGAATGCTCAAAACGGTCCACCTGGCTGAAGAAAGATCAAAGTCAATACTTGAGGGCGTTCACGTTTGTTATTATGCCCTAGAAACATTATAGCCAGTCCAAATACTAGCAGAATAAATCATGACAAAATATTAGCCCAAGCATTTCCCCATGCTGTTGCCATCGTACCACAAGGGGTAATAGAGTATCCAGAACCGTAAGCATGTGGCCAATCGAATGGGTTATGGCGGCCAAGTGACTGATATGACGTGTTGCGTGAAGTCGAAGGAGGATTTAAGAAGTTGAGATCGGGCATCAGTTCTCAGCTAAGTAATTTGGGTGGTAAGAAACATCCGTCTGGCTGAAGGCTCAAATTGAACTTTCTTTCCTAAAAGACCAACTATTGCTCTTATTATGGCGTTGCTATCCTGTGGAAGTCACACACCTCGGCCGGTGTGAGAAAGACAGTTGGATCAGGGTTCATGCTCTCGCGCTTGGAATGCAGGGAAAGTATCATTAATTTTGAATTGTCTCGGGTCTTTCTCTAATAACTTGAAGGTGCATTTAGTTACGGACGTAGGTATCTATGCTTACTTTAGTGGTTGGCATTTCTATAAACGACAAGGTAAGTACTTATCTACTTTAGATTTTGTGATGGAATCCTGAGCTTTCACCGTGGCCTTAGGTTTTATAACGCAAATGCGCCGGAGAAAGTCCAATAAGTATGTATAATTTCAGATCTTGGTCATGGACAGGCATTTGGGTTCACCCGATGTCCGTTGCCGCTAGAATGCTTTCGCTCGACCCTGGCAGCCACAGCTCAGATGTGAGGCAGTGGTGAACTCACAGTATGAGTATCAAGCGCCTGGCGGTTCTTTGGCGCTAATCAACTGAAGGCGAAGCATTCCTTCAATCGATAGAAAGCCGAAATAGCCTCGATTTGGGGAGCTCCATTTAGGCATCCTGAGAGAAGGCAGTCCAGCATATAAAGCCACACGAGGCTTGACGACACGGGCGCAAGAAAACCTCAATTTACCTATCGAATGATAGCTGCATGTGGTTTGTGATCGTATCCATGTGGTTGAATACGAAGAGGCCTTGGAATTAGCTTTGTAATTGTGTATGTTACTCACGGGAAAGAGATAATGCCCGCATGCGCTGCGATGTCACTTCCACTGACCTGGACGATGACGAAGAATTTACTTGTCTGGGTGTTTCTTACAGAATTGAGCATCCGGGAATCAAGAGCCCAGATGTCAAGGAATCTAAGCAAGGAAATTGCCTCCATTTCACGAAAAAAGGCCGCGATATAAGTAGACAGATGAAGTTCTGAAGCTTTATTTCCAGTCAGCGACAGGGAGGGCGGCCATCTAAATACGGTTAGTTCCTGGATGTGTATGCACTCTGCTTATGTTTCAGCCCTGTAGTCGGATGCACCTTGCTTATGACTTTTGAGTCAAGAAATGGACCAGTCGCCTTACACCTTTCTACTAAGGCAAGTTTCGAATACTCTAGACCTCGAGGCCCTCATACTTTGAGCCAATCCCACGGACTGCACTCTGCTTATGGCTTTTGATCACAATGCTTAAGTCCGAACCTTGCCTTTGCCCGACTACAACTATCTCCTCCTTATTCCATGGTTATCCTAGATGCCTAGTGGATACGGAAACGTGTGATGCGTGGCTTGAGGACCAAATTCGACAACATCGCAGAGTACTCATCTGCATTCTTACCCGCGTGGAAGAAGCCGACGGTCTTTCAATGCTCGAAATCTGCATCTGGTTACCATCGGTGACACGCAAATTAGCTTTGGTTTTGGTATCAATGACTTCGCCTTGGGACAAAAGGTCGTGATCAACGAGAACGACCGTCAGCAATGGTTTCGGACCTAAACGGATAGAGGGCTTTGGACGCTGATCTGACTTATCTTCACCTCCGGAAGTACGTCAAACTCATGGCTGCTTCGTTCAGGTGCATGATACATCCGTGGATCAGGCCGGGTTTGGTGTACTAGGCGAGGAAGCTTTCCTCGTTGAATCTTCCTTGTGATGACCTTATTTGTCTACCCACTAGTGTGATGAAGCCAGGAGACGGAAGACTACTTATCGCATCTGATTCTCACCCAAGCAACCGTCTTTCGTTGCCTTCTTCACCCTCATCTTTACACACATTCAAATCTCAAGCAAAGCATCTCACTCCTAATTATGAGAAAACATCTTCTGCGACAATGTCCACCCCGGCCAAGGTTACATTCACTTCTCGCAGCTACAAGCTTGCAGGCCACTTCTACACTCCTGTTATCGATTCTCCCGCCCGTTCTGGAGCTGCTGTCGTCATTGCCCACCCTTGGACCTCAGTCAAAGAACACTCCCCTACCCACTACGCCCGCGTCCTTTCTCAGGCCGGCTTCTATAGCCTCGCCTATGACGCGGCCTACCAAGGGGAATCCGAAGGAGAGGCCCGCTACCTCGAAGACCCCGGTCAGAGGGTTGAGGACATCAAGTCGGCGGTCACGTACCTCTTTAGCCGCGGTGAAAACGACTCTGAGAAAATCGGCGTTCTAGCACCAGGCGGCTACGTCTCCTTCGCAGCACAAACCGATCTCCGAACCAAGGCTGTCGCAATCTCTGCCGGCGTTTGCTCGGGCACAATGGCGCGCCGCGGTCTCGACAAGGACGGGTCCAACCTTGATATTCTCCGCACCCAGCTCGAGGCCGCTGCGAGAGACCGCAACAGCGACGTTACGGGAGAGAAGGTTGACATTATCCACATTTTACCCGATGAGTTCGACCCGGCCACCGCCCCTACCGAAATGCCCGAATCTTTCCGCGACCTGGCTTCGTACTACTGCACTAGCAGGGCCACAGCGACTCACCCTCGAGTCCCTAACCTTTGCTTGCCGCGAAGCTGGGACATTATGGGCAATTTTGACGCCTTTGCCTGAAATCAGCTGATCAGTCCAAGGCCGTTCTTGGCAATTACTGGCACCAAAGCTGCTTTGAAGTGGTATAGCGGGGATGCTGTTGCAAAGGCCAAGGAGCCGAAGGAGCCGCTCGTTGTTGATGGACTTACCCATGCCGACTTGTATGACAATGTGGAGGTTGCCGGCCCTAAGCTCAATGAGTTCTTCGGCAAGTATCTTGTCCAAAGTAGATGATCGTTGACTCAGTGCTGTTGACGACTAGATATATAACTTATACGTAGGCTCGATGCGCTTCGGCCTTGACAGTTGAGCTTGACACACAAACGATCAGCCAGTCAATAGGAACCTCAAAATCTGATATTTACGACGGTAAATGGATTCAAGTTACTCGAGATTCTCATCAACAAAACAAATCTTCATTGAACGAGCACTTTTGAGTCCATAGACAATGGCTAGTCATCATCGCATGCTATTTACCAGCTTGCGGCGACCACCTTTGAGGCTCTGTGTCTTGTCTCCTGAAGCTCCATTGTTGCCACAGGCTCTGTCACTTGATGAGGTGGTATCAAATTTCAACGCTTTCAAATGCTGAACGCTCCTGTATCGCCATGCAATCGTGCTGTAATCCCCCCGTCATGATATTCTTCCACATTTTCAACATCCTAAGCAGCATCGCATGAGAGGGAGCCGCTGCCCAAGTCATTGCAGGAACCACTGCGCTTTTGGCCCTATAGAGTGCGCACAGGTTAGTCAGAAGTTCCTGGGAACAGGGGATTGTTCTTCCTGCGATGGACATACATTGCAGGTCGCTGTGCAGGCGTCGCCACGGTTGTTGCATGCTGTCTCGGTGTAAGTGCAGCAGTTGATGCTTGGGTTGCACTTCTGGGGCTCGGGCAGAGCGACTGCAAGGGCAGTGGTAGCGAGCGCGACGAGAACGAAGAAACGCATTTTGACGTGTGTGTAGGAACGTTATGGAGGAAAGTCGAGATCAGTCGATGGATGGCGTGTGTGCATAGCTGGTGGAGGTGATCGAGAAGAACTGGAGTTTCGCCATTTATAGGTATTCATTGGACTCCTGCAGGGCTATAAATAACGAGTATACTAAGAGATCCGCATTCTGTTATCAAGATTCGAGAAGAACTCTCTTTGATAGATTGTTAGAGATATTGAGTCAGTTACCCTGCAGGTGCTCCAGTTACTTGGCGGCCTCTATGTGGGATGCTGTCGTTAATTAATTCGGGACCACTTGAAACAATCAAAACGTCGGTCTCAATATTGGCACATATACAACTGGTTCTGGTCATACGGCCAAGCCGGAGTTGTCCATAATCATGAATTCCGTCGACGGAGAGACCGGAAAGCTTTCAGTTCACCTCAAGTTACCTTAGGTACTAATTAGTAGGCGATTAAAGAGCGAAGACCACTCCCTTTGTGTGCCTTACACGTTGGGAATTGCATCAAGTCGCAAAGACTACAGTCACTCCCTGGATGACAGACGTGGTTTCATATGCGAAGCCGGGTGGCTTCACACCACATGATTGGCTTTTCTACCCAATAGCAATGATACCTGCGATCGGACTTGAGGTCATAGAGGACTTTCTATCGCGAATGCGATAACATGGTGCCGGTAATATAAGGTTCTAAGAAACTCTAACATATTTTCCGATGACTTAATCCAGCAACTGATAGATCATCCGCGGAACGCACGCTTATCTTGTTCCCTGGGTTGTAATCATTCCGGGATGAGGGTGCCGTCTTCAAAGCTTGATGCGTCCGAGTTATGAGTGAAGTGTCTACAAGATAAGGAGGTGCAATATACTCCAAAGCCCTTGAGAATTGAGGTAGTCTGAGGCTCGATTAAGCAGTCCCCTAATACCATTTCCTTTAACATAATGAGAGGTCTTGACTTATTGAGAAGGTGGACGAAGGGATGGAAGACAACTGGCAGATGCTGACGTAACCACACCGCGAACAGCGCAAATTCGTCCCTTGGACCCCTATTTAAGGTTTCATCCTTTTTTTTTTTGAGCTGATCACGGGCACGTGGCGGGTCTGATCGGGTGCTTTGGCGAATCGCAAGCGCCAATTAAGCGAGATGAGATGGGCATCTCGTGCCTGGAATCCCGGGGGAAAGATCGGATGGGATGCACCTGAGTCTTGGGGTTGCGCGCGCCCAACGTTCGCGATCCGAATCCCCCATCTTCTCTCTTTTCTTTGCAACCCACACCACACCACCACAACACCATCGGCGCAAGCTGCAGATCATCGATGACCTCACTCCTTTGAGTCGCATATCGGCCGCATTTGCGGCTGGCCACAATCATTATTGCTACATTACTACATACCAAAGTCACTCATTAGTTTGGAGAGGGGCGTCCGTTGGGACCCCTCCCTACCCACTCTCTTTAACAATGCGTAGCACCGCTCTTTCATCGCTGTCGCAACTATTCCTTCTGCTGATCGCATCTTCGCCGAACCATGTCGTCGCTGACGGCACCGTCTGGGCAACGCCCCACGATAGCTACTCCTCCTCAGTAGGCGTCCTCGGCTGCAAGATCGATACCGATCGCGTCGCCTACTGGCCCGGCTCCGTAGACTGCACCAACCTCTGCATCTCCCTCACCTACGACGACGGCTCCTCCGACGGCAAGCGCACCGTGAAACTCCTCCGAATTGACCAGTCCCAGGGCGCCTACGACGTCAGCTACGATGCCTGGAACTACCTGTACACGGGTAAATCCGCCAAGAAGGCGCCTGTCGCAGGCGGGCCGCTGGCCATGACATACAAGGAGCTGCCGGCGGACGACTGCAAGGAGCTCCTCAAGACCAAAAACAAGAAGCTGCCGCTCAGCGCGTCCAACAGCATGAACTTCCTCGCCAGCTGCCTCGACCAGCCGGACAGCTGGGTGGCTAAGAACTTTGGGCTGTACAATACACTGGATTCGGTCTGCGCATGGGGATACGACGAGGAGTGCGAGCTGGATTGGCCTGCGGCGAACCAGCCCACGTGCAAGCACTCGCTCGGAATGCCGGTGGAGCTGAAAGATGCGCCAGTGTATAACGTGCAGTATCCCACAGGGGAGGTTGTCGTCGCGTCCACGGGGGAGAAGGTGTCGAGTCCCGGGGATAGTACCAGCCTGGCGGCGCCATCGCCGACACAGAACGGGGCCCCGAGCAGGGGCATGTTGACATTGTTGATGGCTGGCTCACTAGTATGGACGTGCCTCATGATAGGTTCATGCTAACGTTGATGAAAAGGGCCAGGAAATGCTGTTCATATACCACACGAGATACCATGTAATACCCCCCATGTCTTACGACAATAATGTCAAATACCGCCATCTTACCTTATTCTACTTCACCTTATCCCCGCATGTCACCAATCTCAGCAGGGTCCAGTGGGAATGCGCACGGGACCACCCGCATCGTTAAAGATTGACCGTTGAGCCTCGCCCGAGACAGCTGTCTCTAGGGAAATTAAGAGCATTTCTTTTGCCGCTGTGGGAAATTGCCGATGTATTGCTCTGAGGATCCTGAGAAGGTATTTTCTTGTCTAATATCGATCATTCGTCCCCATCAAGGAGCTGGCTGAACCTTGATAGCCCACATAAACTGGGTATTGTCGAAACGATCTCGGCGATGCTACAATATATCGAGTTATGGCGTAATCATGGATGGCTCAAAAGCCCCAGCAGAGCTGAGGTGTCTCTCAAATCTATTCTCGGCCCCTCAAGGCCTGTTTTTGTCTATCGTCTAATGATCCCAGTTTTTTCTCTTGCTTTATTCAGAATTCGCTTGCGCCATGTATGCAATGAAATGGAAGTAATGCTGACATGCTCATGTAAGAGCCACACCGGGAAGAATTACGCTCCTCCTCTAGAGGCCTTCGACTTCTCCCACGTGTCGGAAATGCCGGTGCCATGAGGACAACAAGGAGCAGACCTCTTATTTCGTCTTGAAATAGTCCCGGAACTTTTCGCGAATCTCATCCTCCTCAAACTTCCTCGTATGTCTCCGCAGCATCGTCGCCCGCTCCTCAATCGTCATGCCAATCTGCTCACCAACCGGCACTAGGCACTTTGCCAGGTGCAGGTAGTCCTTTTGAAGCAGCTTGACCGTCACCATGAGATAGTCGATATTGTGGAACACGAGCGCCTTTTCGCGAATATACGTCTTCTTCTGCTGCAAAAAGGACGTGGGGTGGTCACGCCAGTGACGGCGGGGGTTGAGATGGTGCGACGTGTGGTAGCCGTCGTTGTAGCAGTATCGGTTGCTCTGATGAGGTGGTCAGCGGTCAAAACGATCTTCATCCTTGGCAATGTGGGGTCTGTGGAGGGGAGGTCCCCTTGGCGAATGCTTACCGGCACATCAATCAGGGTGATGCTGGAGCGGAAGTCCGAATCCGGCTCGTCGGCATCGACAAAGGCGTGTTGGCCCCAGTTGCCGACCATCAAGCCCAATCTCATGAGCGCGAGGGGCCCGAGGAAGACGAAGGTCGTTGCCTTGCTGTGGAGGCAGTACAGGGTGTACAGGAAGGCGTAGTTGCCGAGCTCCCAGAATCCCGTCTTGAGGCCGTTCTTCGTCTGGCCCTTGCGGAAGAAGTACCGCGGCAAGTCAAACCAGACCAGGAAGATGAAGCGTCCGACGTAGTGCAGGAAGTGGAAGATATCGTCACGCTGGTAGCGGATGGTGGACGACAGATCGTGGGGCCCGTTGCCCTCGACGTGGTGGTGCTTCACGTGGTGGTAAAAGTACGTGTTCCAGGTATGGCCCATGAGGGGGTCGGTGATGTAGGGGAACGCGGCGTCGAAGAAGCGCAGGACGGCCCAGTTCTTTGAGAGGATGCCGTTCATGTGGATGTGCTGGTGCATCATGAGGGTGTAGGTGCCGGTGAACCAGAACTGCATGAGCATGTGCGCGACGCCGTGGATGTAGTTGAAGTTGCGGAAGAGCATGATGGCGCTCGGTACTGAGAGGGTGAAGTAGAGGATTAGGTGTGTGAGCATGATGACGTCGGTCTCGTGGCGGACGATTTTGCGCCCCCAGGCGACGTAGGGGACGACGACATTTTGATAGATGACGGCTGGGAGCTTGTGGGGGAGATCGCGCAGGTCGAATGATGAGAAGACGGATGGCTCAAAGTCTTGACTTGTTGCGTCGTTGAGACCTTTCAGCTTGCGGATGTCCTTGGCGTCTCTCTGATTTGAAACTCCGCGGCAGGCTAGATTTCCGGGTCAATTGAGATGCTCATATAGTGAGTGGGAACATGCAGGTGAGTGAGAATGAGGGTGAGAGTGAAAGTGAAAGTGAGAATAAAAGTGAAACCTGGGAGGGCAGAAAAGGAAAAGAAAAGGCTAGCTCACGTTCATCATCCTTTGACTTCTCACCCAAGGATTCCTGACTGGCATACCCCTCGTCGCCGTCGGTGGGAGCGAGATGCTTATCGTTGTAGCGTTCAATGTCGTCGATAAGGTTCTGCAGAACGATAGTATCGTGAACCGTAAGGTCTGGGGCGACGATGAGATTACTCATTGCATGTGGGTTCTGGAAGGAAAAAAATCTCGAATCCCAAATCTCAAAAAACCTCGATGCCAAGACCCCGCACGCGCGATGAGAAGGAGTAAGTGCAATTGAGAGAAGCGGAAACGGAAAAGAGAAAGAGGAGAGACTGTCGGTCAAACAATGGAATTTCCCCCCGTCTACTCAACCCATTTGAAGCTGGAGGAAAGGGATTTTTTTAGGGGCTTCAAAACGGGGAAGGGGAATCCAAAAAAAAGTGGGAAGACACGATGCCGTTAAAGGAGGTGACCAGTGCTTTATTACGGGTACCCAATCTCTTCAACCCATGTCGCGTTTCTGTTTCGCTTGCGCTGGGAAACCGGCAGCGTCTCCAGAGGTCACTGACTAACCGCAATGGAAAAAACAGCCCATCTCGTTGTGAAATAGTGCTGGGAGCTGCGTAAGCGGCGGCAACATCATGCGAGCGCCGTATATTTCTTCAATTTTGTTGCCAATACGTTGGGGGCCCCATGGTCTATGTCATCCTCCTATTTCAGTCCCCTTTCAATTGCGCTCGTTCTTGTTATTGTCTCCTCACGTCTCCTCATTCCCCTTTCCACTGGAGACTTTCCGAAGAGAGCTACGGGCTCCGTCCTTTGGAGCTTCTCATTGGGCCGGGTTTCGGTAGAGCCTCCGTCAATTGGGGTTTTTTGTTCCTTGCCATCTGCGACCCCAAAGGCAAGAAAAAGCATGTGCTAGGGCACTCTGAAAACAGCCGTTTGCGACACCTTGACAGAGACTCGAGAGACCGTGGCTGCATAGCATACGAAAGTCTGTTTCCCAATGAAAGTCTCCTTGATGTATAAACTCAATTGACGGGCATTCCCAATAGGTATTTTCATTCAATACACACAAAAGGCGGTCAGACATTCTCAGCTCAGTGAGTCCTGTTAGTGCGGGACTTTTCACCAGTGTCGCGCATTTCTCACTTCAAGTGTCGCGTAATACCACCAAAGCGCAAGCAAGGAGCTTCCAGAGATGATAATTCCCAATGGTTGAACCAACAACTGGAGCCAAGATCGGCAAATTTTCCCATCTGATTTCCCATTTTCTTCAGCCTCTTCAGCCAACGGGCTGCATGCCAGCTTTACTCTCCTTTTCCTGCATGCGCAATCACAAATTGCCTTGCTCGAACCCCTGCTAACCCCAATTCTAGAACGTCACTGGGCGCTAGCAAGCAGCCGGGGGGATGAAAGCTTGCGTTGACAGCGTGGGTGGGTACTTTTGGACCCTGAATCGATACCCTGGAGCGGGCAGTGAAGGTGAAACAGGTAAATTGCATACTGTGCCAATCGAACTTGTGGGAACATGCATCGAAAGCGAGAATGTGCTCAAAGATAACCTGATCACCAGATGGTCTACGGATACGTAGTCACAGACAGCCATCGGTGAAGGAGACGAGTATTGGACGTCCTTTGGATGTCGACAGCTGTACGTCGTATCTTGATACCTCACGAGATGAAAGTTGTTGGGCCAATTGGAACGCTGCCCTTTGGCGTTCGAACCTTGATGTTTAAGCTTGTCCCTGCCGAAGCGCCCCGACCATCGAATTCACTATCTCCGAGATTGAACTTGGGCACGACGCGGCTCCAGCACCTTTTTGGTGCTCGCCCACCGGCCCGGCTCGTAATTACGCGGGCCGATGCACTCGCCAGGATAAACTTTCCACCGCTAAGCATCCTCGGAACACGCAATGGGAGTAAAGTGGTCCCTTCAACAAGTTGTGCACCAGAGAAAAGGTGTCACCCATGCTGGTAGCAACGAGTGCTGGATGGTGTCAATGTACATATTCTCCAGTTGTTCTCAGGTGCTTTTTGGTTGGTTTTCTACCATGAGATCAGAGCGAAAACAGAAATGGGCCATCGTGTGATTCGCTATTACCTCTGATATGAGTACGTACTTACGCATATCTCAACGCCAGTGCACCTATCGCTCGATGGATAATATTCGAATCCATCATCACAGGTGGTCTCTCGGGAAACCATGCAAATGCCTAAGTAGGATCTTAGACTACTTACTCATGCACAGCCTTCTATCCAGATTTCTCTTGCCGAATTTGTATGGTCGCCCTTGTTGCCCCCGTTGCCACAATACGTCGGGCCAGACTGGCCCAGATGGACGGATTATCGTCATGTGGATTCTGGATGAGGCGTTCTCCTGTCTGTTAACGCAAAAAGTCCTTCTCGAGCTTCCCGACGACGATGCTGCTGGCGTATACCCGAGCTGTCCCTGAGCAAGGATGACCTAGATGGCGATGTTGACGGTACGGTCTAAGCGACACTTCAAATGCGAGAGTTCATGAGTAGATTCAATACAACACCAAAAAAAGTCCTAAGGGCCTGGATATGGGGGAGGGTCTTGATACCAAAAGGGGCTTTCACACGGACTGCCGATGTAGAAAGTTGAGAACGCGTATTGTGAAGGCTATCTAACACCGTGGAGTCAAAAGCGCTTGTGCGTCTAAAGACTCAAATTAGATGGTATAGTCTATGCACGAATAACTCAACCTTGGCCTACGCTCGAGTCAGATACTTAGTCACAGGTTTTCATGAAGGGCCCAAACCTCATTGTTTTGTAGTATTTAGCTACATTAGTATAGTCTGCTGATGGATTGGGTAATAGCGCAGATGGTTTTTGTCACCCAGTTATCAGATGTTGAGAGTGCTTTACTAGGATCATAAGAATTTGCTGTTGGAGCAAATGAAACAGTGGTCTACCATGTTGAGAAAGAGACCAGTCTCACCTCTGAGCGAGGAAGAAGCGAATCACCAAGCAGTAAGAAATCAAGGCCGCATACGGCGCATAATAGTCTTTGTTCCCACGATCCAATGTGTTCCACAGATTCCAAGGATAGCAGGCCGGTCCTATATCCATCGGCTTTCACCCACTGCTCCCAATATCCCTTTTCGGAATATGTGGTGCTCCCTATTTAGGACTACTTACAGGTTTCGAGATGAATAGGGGTGACAGAAACGCACTGAGAGCCTCATCTCCGACTACCGGGCCGCAGAAAGGCAACCACTAGTTTCATGACTTGGTACGCTCCTCAATCTGGGCAGCCTCGATATTTGCCTCGTATTTCTCGTCGGTGATTGAGGGAGACCTGGCTCGGCCAGGGGCTACCACTGCCCTGCCTCTCATCTGAGCCCACACTGTCTTGTGGGTAGGTTGCATGAAAAGAGCGTCCATGTCCTCAAGAGTCAGGCCTGGTCATATCTTGATTAGCAATCTATAAGCTTCCAGATGACGAATAAGTCAACATACCCTTAGTCTCTGGCACAAAGAAGAATGCCCAAATACCCATGAGCATCAAGATACTGCTAAAGAAGAAGTATGCGCCATATCCTAGGTCAGAGATCATGTACGGTGTGGAGCGAGCGATGATGAAGCTTCCGAGCCAGGTTGTGGCGGTTGTGATGGAGACGGCCAGCATTCTGATTTCCAGTGTCTGCACTTCAGAAGCGTAAAGCCAAGTGATTCCTTGCCACGTTGCGCAGATAATGACCTATGGTAATAGTTCAGTGTTGGTGCTACAAATTAGGCACATCCCAATGCAAAGGCAGCTTACTCCGTTAATGTAGACACAAGCCATGGCGAGATAGCCCCAGCCGTCTCGGGTGACTTGGCCTGCAGCGGCAGCTGTAGCAGGGTCTGCTTTCTACACACAGTGTCAATACGGAAGTGAAACGAGTCGTCTTGCTCCAATTTCTTGTCTTGATACAGAACAGGTAGCAAGGAATCTTACCATGACATATCCTCCAATGTACCACATCGGAATGCAGCCAAGTGCAGATCCCCACAACAGTCCCTTTCGTCGACCGACTCTCTCAGCAACCCAGAAGGTGAAGAGGAACATTCCAAAGGTCTTTGCGATACCGTAGAAACCAGTAGAAAACAGCTTCGTGGATGTCCCAGTTATTCCAAGACTTTCAAAAATTCTGGGGGCGTAGTATGTGATGATATTCACTCCTAGGTCTGATTTAGACATCGTAGTTGAGAAAAGGGGTCATAGATATCCTACGCACCAGTGAAACTCTGAAGGAACATGAGTGCCATGCCCAAGCCCATGCGGTTTCGAATACCCTTTTGGAAAAGCTTTTGGAACATTTGCTTCTTTGTCATGCGTTGAGATGTACGCTGTTCGACCTGAGTGCGTATATCGTTCATCTCACGGCGAATGTACTCGTGATCTGCTGGCAGACCACGGATTTGGGTCAAAATTCTTTCTGCAGAGTCAAAATGGTCTCCACGAGCAAGCCAACGGGGAGACTCTGGGCACCAGATCATGCCTAGCGCAAGTCCCAAGCCCGGCACTAGCTGAATTCCGAGGGGTACGATCCACTGGGCCCTTGAGTTGACATCAATCGTCCTGTCAGTAGCATACTAGGATCTTCACGTCAGATCTTCGACTCAAAAATCTGAGAACATCAAGATGAATGTACTTACATTGATCCAGAAGCCCAGCATACCACCTCCCTGAGAGGCGATTTCGAAGATGCCGACCAGTCGACCACGGATCGAAGGCGGGGCCGTCTCGGCGATGTAAACGGGGACAGTCAACGATGATGCCCCGATTCCCAAACCAGCAATGGCACGGCCTGCGTAGATTAAGTTCAGGTTTCCGCTGGCTGCAGTCATAAGAGTGCCACCGATGAGGAAGACGGTTCCGGCGAGCATGACTGTCTTCCTGCGACCGAATTTCTCGGCGATGGGGAACGTGAATAGGGCACCAAAGAAGCAACCAGCCTAGAACATCCATTCAGTCATGAAACAATCCATTTATAGTTCTTGTCAACAAGCATACCTGAAATGTCGAGACGATGTTGCCCTGGATGGTATCGCGGGTTGTCGAACTAACCTCGTCCAGGTGAAAATCACGCCGGAATGAGTCCAGTGCCATTGTTCCTCCAATGACCGCAGTATCATAGCCCACTGAACGAGTGAGTTAGCAAGTGATCTTTAAGGAGGTCATACTAACGAACTGCGGTCAACCAGAGACCTCCCTGCTCACTGACTAACACGGATTAACATGGTGCGGTGCACCCAGAAATGTCACACTAAACTCTCAAAGACGTGGTGTATGTCAAGTGCCCCTTCATCTAGAGAGAGGCAAAAGTTGATCCAGAAACATGAGAGAACCACGTACTAGCCAAAGCTGACATGCTCGCGACGAGGGCGATCAAGTGAATGCGCCAGTTTCGCACCTCTGGGGGATCAAGCGTCCCGGACGCGTGGGTGCTGAAGAAGCCCATATTGGGCTTTTAGGTTCAAGAGCCTGATGGAAAAAGTAAGACCAAGATGGAGAGACCGTATCACAACACTGCGGAGGGATAGAGGAACAACCTGGGAATTGTGTGAGATAGAGATAGGACCCGGCAGACCAATTCATCGTGGAGACAAAGCGGGGAGGCAAGCTTTATCTAGGCCGCCATGACGTTCCACCCTACAATAAGCTTGAACTGCCTTCCATCGAATGGAAAGCCCGTGTTTGGAACAGCTTCGTGGAACGGTCGAGGATCGGCGGTGTTTACCCCGCGACACCCCCATGGGGAAAAACTGGGTGGCAGTCGTTAAAACTTGCCCGGGACCCGTAACGAAGAGTCGGGTTTGTGGAGGGGGCAACAAAAGAACTTCATCCTCACGGTGCAACCAACCATTTGGCAGTGATGAATGTGATCGCATCTTGCCCCTGCACAATTGGACAGACTGGGCAGCAAACACTTGGCGTCAGCAGATGTGTGGAGTAGCCAAGAAAGGCTCCAAAGAGGGGGTAAGAGAAAGCACAAAACGAACATGTCTCTTCACGTCATTTGGCTGACTTTGATATGTCTCAACCAAAATCAGAGCTTTTGTCGCCATTTATCGTTACCAAACGTAAGTGTGCCAAGGTCGTTTCCTCCGTTACATTCACTTACACAGCCCACTTACTATATGCATGAACCACACGAGGATGAGGGGTAACACCATCCAAGATCCTGAATCCAACAAAGACATAAGAAAGAGGCACGATGGATTGCAATACTACTCGGTGGCCCTGGTTTTAACAAATCGCACTTCTGTCATATTTAGACCCCGATTCTTGATGATCGAAGTTGAACGTCACGGATTTCGATGATCTTTTGTACGAATTTCCCTCTTTCAGTGTTAGCGAACCAAACATTCACTCACTTTTACGTGTCTGGTTTCAACTCAAAAAGGGGATATGACTTCGCGAAAAATCCCACATGAGATAAGGTTTCATATGAAAGGAAGAAAATGAAAAGCCCAGCTGAGCAATACGCTAGTCGAAAAGGAATGCCGAGACGAAAATAAACGGGGAGAATCGGACGCAGTAAGTCGAATGTGCATCCAAGTTGATTTAATGATCTGGAACCCGACGTATGAAAACCGAGAGCAACCTCAGGTCCCAAAGAACCGGAAGGTGCAAAATGGCATTTCTTCTCTGGAGTTGGATCAAGGTGTGGGTGACAAGCCATGACGGGACCGGGGTGATACCCCAGTCTGGCAGTTCATCTGTACCCGGCGCGGGCCTGGATCTGCCCCCCAACCTCCTCATCGGTAGTCAAGTTTGAGTTCCGAGACCACGCGAGCCGCTGCGCTGTCACGAAGCGGCTCCATCAGGAACCTCTCATTACCCCCGAAAACCTCGGCGGAACAGCCCAAAATTGATAATGGCTTC